AAAAAAAAAAAAAAAAAAAAAAAACCCAAAAAAAAAAAACCCCAGAATGGTAATATGGTCATTTATGGACTTATGGACTAGGGTTGTCAGACTTTGGCTTCCAGTCACTGGTACGTCTGCATATGTTGGTTTTTTAGAATGAAGACCTTTTTATTAAAACTTGTTTTCCCTGTTTGAGTCAAATTACCCCTTCACCTTGTTTTGAACTCAAAGTATCTCACTAGCATATAAAACTTAACTTTGTTAATTACTTTTCTGAAGCTTTGAGTTTTTAATCGTTCTGCAAATTGAAACTATTCCAGTGGCAATTGCAATGCTGTGACATACGGAGGTAGTGCTGTTGGCACTTGATGTTCTCTTGTCCTGATCACTGACCATTTGGGTTAGATTATTTCCCCAGGCACTCATTTCATCCTGTTCCCTCAGCAGCTCAAGCTGGTTTTTGGTTTGTTGTGGGTTTGGTGGTCTGGTGTTTTGGTTTTTTTTTTTTTTAATTTGTTAGGAGTAGTATTGGTGAAAGCTAATTGCAGAATATTCTTTGGACGTGGAAAGATTAGTATAAACAACTCTACCTTTTACTACTTTGAGATGCTGTTGCCCTACAAATGAAGTGGAGACCTAAGGTTTTGGATCAGTAGTAGCTGTTACTGGTAAATCTCAAAAAAGCTGTACAAGAGCATTCCAAGTTTTTGTAACTTGTTCAACAGAACAAGTTTTGTCTTGTTTTCCCTTGCCAGCCTTACTTAGTAGTTGTTTATTCTACAGCATGTAGATTGTAAATTGTATAATGTTGGAGGCATTTGTTTTAAAGCTGGATTTTCATGTTTCTTGATTGAGAAAGTGAGATTTGGACTGAAATTATGTATGGCTGGAGGGGATTAATACCTTGTATTAGAGAAGACACTCGGAGAGATACTGATCTGTGGCATTTTTAGAAAGTCCCGAAGAGGTCTAGCCTGTATTGAACTGTATAGACTTTATTGGGCAGCATCGTATGGTGGCAGCAGTTAGTATGGAGACTACTTGGAGAATTGTACTTTCCCTTCCTTTTTAGATATCTGTGCCGTACGCATATTTTAATTGTTTCTTGACTATTATGACTATCGGATGCTTCTAAATTTACTGACTTTGCAGAGCCAGCATAGCTAAGTTGCAACAGATTTTGTAGTAAACTCAATCTTAAAATAATTTGGTTGATTTTTATCTCTGCATCCTGTTGAAAGCTGTGAAATGGAATATCTATCACTGAGGAGAATAATGTGCAGAATCTTGTTTGAGAGTTGTGTTTGAGTTCTGCCAGCCAGACTAGAAAATACGTATTTTTACTCATAAACTGAAGACATTTGAACTAAGAATTAAGACCCAAGTGTTAATCCATGGAATGATTCTCATTTTGACATAGATTTTTTTAAAAAAATTATTATTATATTCTGTTTCGTCTTTATGTCAATATTTATTTATCTTTTTTAAGGAGAACTCTACTATATATTGCTTATATATTCTCTGGGCCTGAGCATTTGTACATTTAAATTGGGATTCTCAACTGTTCTTTACTTGCCTCAGGCTGTGCACTGGTTTTGTTACAGTACTGTGATTTCTAAAAGAGAAATACTTAAGTTTAATTTGTGTCAAACCTTCCTCAGCTGCATTTACATTGTATTGGCAATCGCTTCAGGTATCATTTGCTTGTGGCTGGTGCTGGGGGGGGGGGCACGGGCCCTCCA